GTAATTTACTGATAATTTGCCAGATTTCATTAACATATGCTTACTAAGTTAAAAGTTACAGCATGAAAACTATAACAAGCACAAAATGGTTACAAGGTCAGTCACAGTGACCGAGCCTGTTATAAAAAGAGTTGAGGGGTAAATCGTCGGGCTTCACTCTGACTCTTCTATGGTGGTGTCTTATATTTCTCAACAAAGAGGCATGTGGTCTAGAGCTCCCTATTTTCAAATTTTGAACCTCCTTTCTCAGGAATAGTTTTATCACTTTTCTAGATTGCCATGTTCCACAGGTGATGCCTGTGATAGCAGGTCCATTGTCTCAATCCAAACAGATTCTCCCGTCAGAATAGGTTCAGTTGGATTGCCTCTCATTTTGCAACTCAGATTGGTGGGTTGGCCTCTCATTGGATCATCCAACTACCAGCAATTTGGTCTCCAGTACCTTATCTTTGGGCCTTGGCAATAGATACTTTCCATCTGTTCTCTCCATTTCATATATTACCCAGGGTATGATATATGATTTGTTCCAATCCATTGTCAGATCTTTTTGATCACACCAATTTGGTGGCCACGTATGGGTTTCTGCTTTTGTGGTACCTTCTGGTGTGTCCACTCTTCCACTTCCTTTTAGCCTCTCTCTGTGGAGGCAGCCATGATTGGATATGGTACACCCAGCTATCCAGAAGCTCAAGCTTTCTTTCACATGGCATTGAGGTTCAATTTCTAAGGTTGATATATATCTGTCTCAGTTTCTTCTTAGCCTGAAAGGCACTTTTCTCATTGGTATTGACATGCATATTGGCAATGTTATATTGAGAGGAGGTTAAACCCTTTTCAATCAGTGGTGTCATTCATAACTCGTTTTTTGACTTGGCTCTTTGACAGTGCCTTTTGCGTCTTCCACAATTACCATTGTTTATGGCAGCCTTATTGACTATTGTTTGATTATCGCAACTACATATTTTTTGAGTCTCCAGTACTCTCCAGATTCCTCATATAGTTTTGGGTAATTGGTCCTAAATGATCATTCCAGTTACCTGACAGGTAGATTAGGGTGTTCATTCTCCTCACCTTAGTGATCTGACTCTTATATGCCATGTATCTCCTTTACCTACAGGTTTATTTTTCATGGCTGCTGACCTATGGACATCACCGGATGGAGTGATTTACGCTGTTTGTCCACAGACCACTTTCTCATTCTCTCTACATCCTCAGACCAGTTCTTCTTACCCAACATTCTGTCAGATGGGGAAGGAGTTCAGTCCTTTTCTTCGATTCATCTGCTCACTCTTTCTCTGTCCAAGCAGATTTTGTTCTTGGTCATGTTCATTGAGGGTTTTGAAGTTTTTGTTGCCTGCACTTGTACCTTTAGAGATACTAGACAACACTTTATTCTGGGCTTTCTTTGAAGGCGAGTCACATCTAATCAAAATTCTCTCTTTCTTTCTATGTCCTTAGCAGCTCATTTGAATTGTCCCCCCCTCACAAATTCTACAAGTGGTGCTAGGGAGTCCTTACAACACCCGGTTTCCAGTCACTAGGGTGGTGGACAGAGGCTTTTCCTCCAGAGTGTTAGAGTGAATTTCTCCACTCGGGAAAGAGCATACCTGCTCTGGATGTAGTGCAGTTCTCCCACTCGGGTACCACTATTATCTTGGTACACCCATAATCTATGCAGATGCTTTCTGTATGGATAATGCCCTCATCAGCCCCTCTACTTTCTCAATGTGAGATTCTAGGTATAAGTGGCAGTGGAGGTAAATATGTTTTAGAAATTAACATTTTCCTAAATTGAAAATGTATTTCCAATAATACTTACCTCCACTGACACTCTACTACCCTTCCTGCCCACTAAGAGCTGGTGTTAGAGACTGGAATGGTATCAGTCTTAAAAAAGTGATAACATTACCTGAATGAGGTGCTTACATACAGTACCAGGATAGAGGGTGCATTGATGTAGGTGGTGAGTGTCATGAGACGAATATCGCAAAGGGCAATTAAGTGGGGTATAAAAGACTGGAGCAAGCAAGAAAACATCAGACTAATGCTTAGATGAGCAAAGATGAAACCATGGGAGTCGAGTAATAGCTATAAGTGTCAGCAGAGGTATCATTTGAAATACAATTTGAATTTAGGAAAATGTTAACTTCTGGATACATTTCCCACCCATCTCAATTCCAAACTACCCCTCTTCTGGTTCTCAGTTCCACATCCTTTGGCTATGGCACTAGACACTTTCAATTAGGATTGGTCCAATCTTGATGCCTATCATCCTATTCACCTCTTATCCCAGGTTTTAACAACCCTTATCCAAACCACTCCATGTGGAGACCTTCTCATTACCCCTTTCTGGTCTGCTGAACTGTGATTTAGTCCTTACCCTCCTTCAGTCATTCCCTCCATTACCACTCCTCTGGCAACCTCAGTCATCTGTGTGTCACCCCACCATCACCACACACACACATGGCATTTGTCCAGTCCTTTGCAAAGTGGTCTGGACTCTCCAACATGTAGCATACCTTTTTTTTTCCCAGTCAGTCTGTTTTTCATCCTAAATAATTGATCAGAGAAATTGGTGCATTTCCTGTCATTGGTCTCTAAACAATGGTTACCTCTCTTCCTGTCCTAGTGTTCCTCACATTGCAGAATTTTTTAACTGGCTGTTTGATATTGGTTCCTCTGTATCTACCATTGCTGGTTATCAGGCATCCTTATCCAATACCTTCCATTTTCCCCATTTCCGTAGAGTTTTTTCTTCTCCTGTCCTCACCTTTTTGTTTCATTCCTTTCAGCTTCTTTGTCCACCCCTTCCTAAACCTCTTCTATGTAGATTTGGACCACGTATTTCTCCATGTCATTACCTCACCTTCTTTGGAACCATTATACCACTTGTCCTTGAAAACACATATCTTTTGCTTGTGATCATTGTTGGGGCAGATATTTTTTTTTGCCCATGATGTTCCATGTATACTTTATCACTGCACTTATGTTCTCCTGTATCCAGATCGCAATTTTTCCCCCGATGTCGTCAGTTCCTGAAGGTCATGTCACAAGGTGGTACTCATTCTTGCAGCCTTTGTTTTGCTCCGGTTTTTCTGTATATGTAGCTTACTTTCAACATAATTACTTTTGAACATGCTGTGTTGATGATTAATGCTTTTATTACATTGACCAACTATCTTTTTCCTCTCTATTGTTTTTCAATTTCAGATCAAGATTCTGTGGCAGTGGATGTCCTGAACCAGTATTTGGAGAATTGTTTTATATATATTTCTACTCTACCTTCTTCCAGGTTCTCCTTATTGCTCCACTTTGGCTTGCTATTATTTCAGTTTCTCATTAGGAGCCATTTCCATTACCACCATGGAATCACTTACTAAAACAACACTCAAATGCTCGAAGTTAATTATACATTTTCAAATTTACAAATTTTTATCTTCACAAAATTTGGTAAGCTGTTAGTAAACAGTACAAGTACATTTTACACAAAAAATCAGAAGTTTTATGAAATATTTCTTCTAAAGATCTGTTTATAAATTTATCGAGTCAGTCTGAGTACAAGGTAATTTTCATATTAAGAATAAAAATTCAGTAATTTATTCTTGGCAGGCATATGTAGATAGCTGTTTCAAATGGCTTATGTGTGATAATGTTTAGTTTCACTTTTGGGAACTAACAGAATTGTTTAACCTGTTTATAATTTAGTTTAAAAGCCAGTTAAATTATATTAGTTTTTGGAATCTATTATAATGCTTAATAAGTTTTTTGCTTTTAAAATGGATATTTAAAAGCTACATGAAGTTATGTTAGAAGAAGTAACAGTGAAAAAAGTGAGACCTAGCACAGTTACAGTTTGTATTTGCAAAGATTACACATTTCACTCATGATTTATGATACATGTCAATGATCTAACCTGTGATTTTTTGCTTACTGACGGGGAGGATCATTACTTAAGTGATTACAAACTACATTAATAACACCATAAAAATGAAATAAAAAATATGTGAAAAGGTTAACAGTTGAAACTGTGAAGATGAGTCCATTAATACAGTGAAAATGATCCATCCAAATAAGAACAAAAAAGAAGTATTGTTCATTTTATTTAATACTTTTCAACTTTAATTTTCCTGTACATTGATTATCTTACTACAGTTAGTGTTATGGTAATGGAAATGACAGAAAATGTTCAAAGTTTTAGCAAAAATTCAGAAAAAAAAATTATATTCATTTAAGAGCTACTAGAGGTTATGCAAATTAAACAAGAAAACTGCAAGATGAAAAGAAATATTTTCATTCTTAACTTGAAAATCACTTTTAACAGACACTAGTCAGAGTGACTCAGTAAAACTTTTTGAAATTGACAGACAAATCTTTAGACAAATTCAGAATTATAGTAAATATTAGTTGTTCAATATGATGTTGGTCCAATAAACTGAGATCATTTATATAGGGTTAAACAACATTTCAATGACAAGGAATTTCTCAGACACTAGACAATTCTTTAAGTACAGCTTATAATGGCATAAAAAATTATAAGTAACCTTCTCAGTTTCTACTGTTGGATAGCTAAAATCTTGTAACAAGCTTAAATTTAATATTCATTTCTTTGTATTTGGTTTTCCAGTAAAGAAGCCTGATCGTGTAAGCTTTGTTGATGCTGCAGGCTGTATTGGAGATGCAGTTAAAGCTTATACGGCTCTTCATTACTTAGGACGTATGACAGGTGGAGATACTATTCTAATCATGGATGGAGCCACTTCATTTGGTAGTCTTGCTATTCAGCTAGCCTATCACTGGGGAGCAAAGGTTAGAATTTTGTATATCATTTGAAGTTCTAAGGATTAATTTGACCATAAAGTGGACCTATTGCTATATTCAGGAATTTTTGTTTCTTTTCACCTTATTTAATGTTGATAACTAAGGTACAAAGTAGTTAAAAATGGGATATATAAAGAATAGTTAAATTATAGTGACATTTCACAAATTCACCATTGTTAACTCATCACTATCAGAATATTGAAACTAATGTTCTACAAAAAGGATTGCATTTTGCTGTCACTTCCAACCATATACCAATATTTTGGTGGTCAGTAATATGCTTTTGAACTCCACTCTGGACATGGAATCTACTGACAGCAGTCAAGACAAAGTTTTTCATAACATAACCCTAATTATGATTCTTACATAAACTTAAAGGTTTTACTTAATTATATTCCAAATTTAGTTAATCAATTTTATGATCAATTATATTCAAAATTTAGTTCATCAATTTTATGATCAATGTATGCCAATGAAATCAGAATTAAAATTTACACTATAGTTAATATTATACATATATATTATCAAGATTTTAATTCCTTTATGTCAAAAGAAAAATTTTCAAAATTTAGTTATCTTGTCACGTGATGCACAAGTTCACAAAGTCTAAACTTTTCATGTTTGTAACTTGAATACTTCTACATGTACACCCTACCTCTATGTATAGGTAGAAACTAAGTTAATTGCTCTGTTTACAGATTCTTCTTTCAAGCTCTTTAAGGCATGTTAGGAGAAAGGAGAGAGAAATTTCTTGGAACTCTTAACAGAAGCCATGCCCACTTTCTTCACGTATAGTCTTGATCTCTCAGTAGGTAGGTAGATGTCGGTAGGAGAATTGATGCTCTGCTATTTGGTTGGGGTGTGCATGGCCCTTCTGTTTGATCAATATAGATTCAGTACATTATTCAAGTCAGGGGGTCCACTATCTCATAATTCCGAATGCAGAGTGGTCCCGCCTTGGGTCCTTGCTTGAGCACAGTTGTTCCACATCTTCCCCATAATTCTGAGGCAAGTGGAATATACCTTGCCCACGTGGTTGGGGAGGGAGAATAAATGTTCATAATTCCAGACCGGATGAGTTCTGTTTTCTTTGGTTGACTACAGCATACATAATCCTGTCATTCCAAGCCTGGGGTGTTGCCTTTTGGGATTCTTCAGGTGGAGGAGAAGGTTTGTCCACTTCAGGGTGTTGCTTATTTTCTCATTGTGTTTCTGATGGCTTGGAACACATCACTCTATGACTACAGGTTGGGATCCACTCATAAGTATTTCTACTTAAATATACTGTTGCATTCCAATTGTTCTTGCCACCAATGTGGGAAAAAAGGACCAAGACCCCTTAATTCCAACCCCGAGTTGTGGAACCTTGGCTATCTGGTTGGGGCTGGCCTACAATGATGATCACACATGTATAATTCCACCCACAGTACAGGTATTATGGTCAGGGTGAAGAGCATACATGTTCTCGATGTATTGCAGTTCTCTCACAATGATGCCAATCTTTTATTGATACACCCATGATCTATGCAGACACTTTCTGTATGGATAATGCCCTTACCAGCCCCTCCACATTATCATTGTGGAATTCTAGCTATAAGTGTGAGAGAAGGTAAGTATGTTTTGGAAGTTATAATTTTCTTAAATCCAAAATGTATTTCCAATAATGCTTACCTCTGCTGACACTCTACTGCCCTTCTTCCCCACTTAGAGCCAGTGTTAAAGACTGGAATGGTATCAGTCTCAAAAAAGTGATAACATTATCTGAATGAGATGCTTATATACAGTACCAGGATAGAGGATGCATTGACATAGGTGGAGAGTGTCATGAGACGAATATCGCAAAGGGCAATTAAGTGGGGTATAAAAGACTGGAGCAAGCAAGAAAAAATAAGACCACTTAGACGGACAAAGGATAAAACCCTGGCAGTCGAGTAATAGCTATAAGTGTGAGAGGAGGTATGTATTATTGGAAATATATTTTAGATTTAAGAAAATGATAAGTTCTATTCCTTGGGTCTGAACACATCAGACATTTTCTTCTTTGTCAATTTAACAGGATTTGCGATGTTTAGAGAACTTAATTTCTTTCATTTTTTTTCCTTCAAACTATGAAAACAAGTTCACGTAATATTTTCTACTACCTGTGTGAGTGACTAATTTCTTCCCACAGATTGTGTAACAATTATGGCTTATGAAGGCACATTCCCTAAGGATCATGTGGTAGCTATTGTGAATAGGATAGTGGGTTCCTTTATGCTGCCAGGACCTTCAGTTCATTTCCCTTGTTTGTGGGGTGAATGAGGAGGAGGAATTTGATTGTTCCTTCACCTGGTTAGGTTTTGGGAATTTCTCTCCTTGTTAAAGAAAAACTTACTCTTTCTCCATTCTTCAGCCTTGATTTCTCAGGTATACACCATTCTTTTTCTTTCCCCGGTAACATATTCTTTTTCTTCTCTGCTTCTTAATCCTAACCTTATCTGTTTTTAACATTTATTTCCTTGATTTTAGTCATTCCGCATCCTCTTTTGTAATTATAACAATTGGGATTGCCCTTCAAGTCTGAAGCACTCTATTGTGGGTGATTTTCTTTCCCTTCACTTCTCTATTGTAGCCATTCCACTTCTACCAGTCCCTGCTCACTCGCTTCTTTATTACTAGGGATTCTTGGGTGTGGACACTCTCCTATCTACGAGTCTTTTGCAGTCTTGTTTCATTGCCCTGAAATTTGGCGGTATTCCTAACTGATTTGATTAAATCCTGGGCTGAGGCTGCTGTCATCAATCCTGACTTTTTTACTTTGTTTCCACACCGTCCCCAACCTTACCCTCCACCATTGTAACTTGTCTTAGTCCCTAGTTCCCCATCTTTTGATTCCCAACTTACTCTTCTACTTGGTGTTAGACTCATTGAGGTCATTGGTGAAGTTTGTGTTATGTTAGGTCCCATGGGTGCCCTGCTGTCATGGTTTGAGCTTCTGTGGTCATACTTTTCCATCCACACAAGATTTTTCTACTTTTTACCATTGGACTTTCTCTCCAATTCCCTTCTCCTTCTTCTTTCATTCCCAGTCTTGTTTCCTTTTCCTCCCATTTATGTTCAATGTCTATTTTAGGCTATGTTCATCACCACTTCTAACAATTCTTCACTCTCACTTTTATTCGTTGGGAATTGTGTGTTTTTCACCCCATTCTCAGCTGGGATCATCCTTCTCTCATCTGCCTGTGAGCTACTGAACTTATAGTCACCAGAATTTACATCTATCTTACTCATTCAGCATGATAGGTTTAGTGTTTGGTGACTGTGGCTTCATGTAGATTGCTTATCCCTTTGGGTCACACACCTATGCATCTCCTCATCTGGTCAGTGTGTGACCATAAGAATGCCTCATGTGATTGTTTGACCACAGTGGTTCTCCTGTTCCTTCCTCTATTCTAGTACTTGTATGGGTGGCTGGACTGATTCAATATTACAATCTGTGTTCCATTACCTCCACTCAAACTGGACCTACACTTCTTCACCTGTGCTACCCCCTCTTGTTGGGGATCATCCCTGAATGACATCAGAAATCTGATCTATAAACATTTGCTTTCAAACCCTGGACCTTCCTTCTTTGATCAGTTCTCAATGGGTTGATTTCCTCATCTGCCATGTACTAGGTACTATGAAGAGGGTTGTGGACTACCTTTCTTAGATGGACTGTGTTCTGCCCACAGATGGTCTCTTCTCCCCCAGTTTTTAGGGCTGCTTTCTTGGGGATTTCACTCATCGTTGCCTAGTCAACCCTCTCTCTCTTTTATGCTTCCTCTCTTCTGATCATCTGTTCTCCATCTCTTGGCTCTGGCTGTCACTGCCTGGTCTGGTCTTATATTTGTTATAATGCTCACCCGCCTTCCAGCCTTTACTTTGGTCCTCGCCTTGACTAGAGACACTATTTGTCATTTCCTCTTGATGATATCCCTCTGGCTGATTTAACTTGGGTTCTCTCTTCTAAGCCACCTGACAACCCCCCTTTTCCCCTGCTAGTTATATACACTATTACTTCAACATCTCCTTTCCATTACAGGATCTTGTCCTTCCACCTTCATGTTTAGATTAGTCTGGTTCATCACTTGTTGAACCAGACTGTCCCATCTGGTAATCTTTTCTTTTGCCATTCTGGGCATCATTCTACTTAGTCCTTCTACCCACATTTGGGTCATAGCTTTCAGCATTGGTCCATCCATCACCATCTTCCTCCTAATTGTTCTTCTCTCAGACATTTCCTTTCCCTTTACCAGGCTGTGCTACAGGGTTCAGCTGTGTCCAACTTTGCCAATTATTGGGTTGCCTTGTCTCCAACATTTTGCATTTCTTGGTACTATAAAATGTTTCTTCCCTTGTTCTCCCCATCTTGTTCTTGTCCTTCCTTATCCATAGACACACTTCTTACATATTGTTGGTATGAACATGCTTTAGAGACACTATAAGAAATACCTATACACTGGATATGTGAACTGAAGAAAAAGTGTCAATGGCCACTATTCAGTTCTTCACACTTGCACTGTTCCCATACCAAACTGGGACCTTAGTGTCATCCTGCACACTCTTACCTATGCCCCTTTCAGCCATTGGCAACCTGCAACTTCTACTGCTTTCTCTTCAGACATATTCCACTTACTTCTCCCTTAGGTTCACTGTCATTCCAATCTTTATGCTAGCAACTCATCCCATATCAATGCTCCAAATAATTTTTTTTTTTTCTGTATAGAGTAATCACTCCTGAAATTCTGTCAATGGCAGTAATTGTAAATTTTTTACAAAGTGCAGCAGTAACATTTTGTTATGAAAAGTAAGTTAAATAATTATGAATTATCTTATTATTTCAAAAGGTGAAATTTGACACATGATTAACCCTTTCACTATAGACTTGGTCCCAGGGACCAACCTTGAAACTTATAACTATTTTGTGCTTGTTATATTCTTCATATTATAACTTTTAATACAGTTTG